CCAGCTGTAAACTATACGCTTGTGTCAGCTCAGACATTTGGGAGCCAGACCGGGGCCGGTTGCAATGGAATGCTCTCCATCCTGCCAGTTCAGGTAAAAGCACAAAAAGGCAACAAGGTGATTCAGACCTATGCTTTTCTGGACAATGGCTCAACATCCACATTCTGCTCTGAAGCTCTTATGCGTAGGCTTAATCTCACTGGGACAAAGTCAAAAATATGTTTAACGATGAGCCCAAAGACATCAGTGTCAACATACATTGTGAATGGACTTGAAATAGCTAGCCTTAATGGTACAAGGTACTACAGTCTTCCAAATGTTTACACACAGAAATCGATGCCAGTGAATACAGCAAACATGATCAAACAAGAGGACCTTACACAGTGGCCTTACCTTGAGCACATTGAAATCCCTGAAATTGATGCTAATGTGGAGTTATTAATAGGGACTAATGCTTCAAAGTTGCTGGAACCATGGGAAATTGTGAATAGTCAAGGTGAGGGTCCTTTTGCTGTTAAAACTCTATTGGGGTGGGTGGTCAATGGCTTCGGAAAGGATTGCAAAGACATGAATGACAATGGTGGTCATAGTGTTGCTGTTAACCGACTATCTGTGGAATCACTTCAGCTGCTATTGGAGAAGCAGTACCAAAGTGACTTCAATGAAAAAATCGCCGACGACAGAGAAGAAATGTCAAGACAGGAGGCAAGATTCATTGAAATAATGGACCAATCTGTAAACTTAAAAGACGGACATTACAGTTTAAAATTGCCATTCAAAGCTCAGAAAGTGACACTGCCAAACAATCGTTGTATTGCTCAACAGCGCCTCACTGGATTAAGAAGGAAAATGGAAAGAAATGAGAAGTTCCACCAAGAATACGCGAGCTTTCTTGGGAAAGCTTCAGACCCAGCACAGTGGCGATATGTTCACACAAAACAAAATCCTGCAGATGACGCATCTAGAGGACTGACAGTCCACAAGCTTCTGAACAGCAAAACGTGGTTATCAGGTCCAGAATTCCTGTGGAAAGCAAGAGAAACGTGGATACATTTTGAAGTAGAATCCACAATAGAAGAGGATGATCCAGAGGTAAAACTGGAGATCTCTACCAACACAATAACTATTCAAGAGGATAATGCAACCAATCAACTCATCACATATTTCTCTGACTGGAAAAGGTTGAAGGTTGCAGTTGCATGGTTACTCAAGGTTAAGAAGACTCTATTGGAGTTGAGTCAAAGAAGAAAGCAACTTGTGATGGTTGAAATGGCTGATCTTTGTTATGTGGACAAGAAAATGTTGGAAGCCAGAAAGTCATCAGGACGAGACAGTATATCAACTGAGGATCTATTAGCGGCAGAAAATGCTATCCTTCAGTTCTGTCAAAGGGAAAGATTTGACAAAGAGATTTGTGCACTAAGGACAGGAAAACCTGTAACAAAGTGTAGCCCTATCTACAAGCTGAATCCTGTTCTAGAGGATGGACTGTTAAGAGTAGGTGGAAGATTGTCCAGGACTACAATGCCCGAAGAGAGCAAACACCCAGTCATCCTGTGTAAAGATCAGTACATCTCCATGTTAATTCTTAAAAATGTTCATGAACAAACATAATTGAGAGACCAGTGACAAAATTAGGCCTATTGGTAGAACAGTCAATGTAAAAGTGAACAAACACACCAAATAGGGGTTTATTTGTTTGTTGTTTTTATTGTAAGATGTTTTTGTTGCATTTATGTCTCCATACGTGTATATGTTTATAATTGTTATGTCTTGTATTGCCATGAACAATTAGGGGCCGGTTGTGTTGGAGCCATTTTGTGTATAGCCATGGGTTGGCGCTGTGTGCAGCCACAAGTCTACTTAAGACATTGGGTAATTAGTGCAGGTGTGGCGCACTGCGAGGTGCATGGTTTTTGACCGTGAGGCACGGCGTGTAATTATGGAGACTGACTTGAGTTAAGTTATTTTTGAATAAATGTTTTATTTTTCGTTATGTTAATAAATGGATTGGCATATCCGACGTTAAGTTCAGACTTTTGAAAGTTTATTATTTTATTTTATTATTTTAAGCCAAAGGAAACAGCACGCCCGAAACACGCGTGCAAAACAACTTAAATGTGCGCCAACAGTTATGCATGTAAGAACACACTATTTTCTGAACTAATTTCTACACATCAACATAATCCAACCCAGCCCCTCCTTGTACCTCAGCTGAAAGTGTTGACAAGTAGAGCCTCTATTACCTCCTCTGCATCTTACTCAGAGATCACTCACCAACAACAAGATAGTTTTTACCAGTTTTATCCTATTGATTTGTCTGAGCTTCTAAAACAGAATCACAAGTGAGTGTCTTCCAGCCCCCTTGATGTATAACAAACAAAGTTGTAACTAAAAGTAATGGATTTTGTAAGGCGCTGTCTGCTTTCTATTTTTTTGCGTGTCTGTAAACAACTATGTCTCCTCGTTCTGTCCAGTTAAATATGATGTGCCTCAGGGGTCGGTCTTAGGACCCATTTTATTTTCCTTGTATTTGCTTCCCCTTACTCATACATTATCAAGAAACATAGTGTCTCTTTTCATATTTATGCTGATGACACACAGATGTACCTGCCCGTCAGATCCACAGACCCTGGAATGGTGAGTTAACTTTACCAACTGTCTCTCAGATGTCAAAAATTGCATGTCAAATAATTTCCTCCTGCTGAACTCAGACAAAACAGAGATCCTGGTCATCGGGTCCCCTTGAATGGCAAAACAAATTCTACCATCTGCTGGTTATTAATAAAAGTAATGATGATTGTGGCCAACAAAATGGATGAACTGCTGCTCCTCAACAAAAGTAACTTCAATTTCTGCCCTCCTCTGTTTTACCGAGTCCTGCTCACTGAGCACATCCCGGACAGCGCACTTCGCCTACCGGGGTTTTAATCTTCCCCGGGCGGATCGTGTAATGGAGCTCACTGGAAAAAATATAGCCACAAGCAGCGATTCATGGGTTCATACCTTTTTTCGCAATATCGCCATCAAAAAAATTTCCCACATATGGTTGCAAATTGTTACGAAACACATTCAAGTTTTTTTAACGATTGGACAAGCATTTTCTGATCTATAGCTTGATTTGTTTCATTCCACATCCAATTATTATGCATTTATAGCACCTCCTAGTGGTCAATTTGAATGAGACTTTCAGTGTATGTGTGAGGTGCTTAAGTAGACATATCTGCAAGTTTTGTGTTGATTGGACAAACAATATGTATTTTGTAGCCTATTTTGCGTTTTATCCCCTGCAGTTTGTTTGCATTTATAGCGCCCCCGGGTGTTTGATTTGAATGAAACTTTCAGGGCATGTTTCATTTACTTATGAGGACATATCCTGAGAGATTTGTGATGATTGTAGAATGAATATGGGATTTATAGTGTTGTGTCTGTAATGCTAAGCACCTTTCCTGCACTTGTAGCGCCCCCTAGTAACGTATGTACATCAAACTGTCCAGGTTTTTCCGGGGCACCTATCTGAACATATTCGGTGAGTTTTGTGATGATCGGCCCTACGGTTGCTGATTTGTGGTCATTTATGTCCAGAGCCACGTCCTTTCAAAGTTCATTGGTCCATATCTTGAAAAGTAGTTGAGATATTGACATGCTTTTTAATCAGCTTGATCCAATGATGATTCACTGAAAATTTGTTGGCAATACTACGGTCTAGGAGGAGATGTCAAAAATGTGATTTTCAAAAAATTCAAAATGGCGGAAAAAAACTCTAGGCGGACCTTAATGGTCCCAGAGGCTTTTTTGCAGAGCACATTGAGCTGCACCTGTGTGAGAAATTTTAAGTAAATCGGACTTACGCGGTATGAACCCTAATAATAATAACAAACAAACATAGAAGGGTTCTACCGCTAAAGTAAAAACATGACCCCTAACAAGGGGAGGCGGACTCTGCCTGTACATAAATGAAGGTTGGTGCTCAGATGTCACAGTGTTGAAGAAATCATGCAGCCCTTACTTAGAGACATTGTTCATAAACTGTAAACCTTTTTATTCACCGCGGGAGTGTTCATCTTCTGCCACTACAAACATACATGCTATGCCTACACATGCGCACTGACGACCCAGGGTTAGGGTTACAAATTTGGATTTATTTATGCACTTTAAAAACCTTTCTTGAAAGTTGTTTTTCTTTTTAATGTTTATTTATAGCATTATACGTTGAAATATATATTGTAATAGGCAGTATATTAACTTATTGTCAGAAAACTGGTAGTTCTATGTACAATCAGACACTGAGCACCCCCATATGGCCTCGTTTTGCTGCAAAGCTTCAAGTGTGAAATTGACAGTCGAATCAGGCTCCGCCCATTGAAGCATTGAATCTTTGACTATTTGGGGTCAGCCCTAATATACTATACATATATAACACGTACAGTTTTTAGTCAGGGCCTCGAGGCTTATACTATCATATGAGAGCTTTTCCTGATTTTAGTTGATTTTAATTATTTATCTACTTTTCTTTTAACTATATATTAATTTCATAAGTTTCTTCCTGATTTTACTGTATACCTTTATTTTTTTATTATCTTTGCTCTTGTGGAATCACTTTGTAACATTGTTTTGAAAAGTGCTCTATAAATAAAGATTATTTTTATTATAATGTGGCTTTTTGACTGAAGTTATTTATTTTTATTTAACCTTTAGTTTACCAGGAAAGAAATCCATTGAGATTTTTAATCTCTTTTACAAGGATGTCCTGGCCAAGATGTGAAAAGTCAGAGAGAATATGACTCAGTGACCTCAGAAAACAAAACCAGCAGTTAGTGAGACAACACAAGAAAAGTATGAAACTGAGCCTAATGTAGAGTAGTACAGGTTTGCAGAAATGTTCCATCCATTACATGTCACAGCTTGCCAGACTTCAACACCACGTGAACTGGTCTCTATGGAACTGACGTTGTTTGTCAGACTGCATGTTCTGATGAAATCAGTTCTGATGGTGAGACAGCAGCTGGAGATACATGACTGATGAGGAGTCACCATAATATAAATGAGCAGGGCTCTCTCTTTACAGACAAACTTGGACGAGACTCCATCAAGCTGCTGATCGGATGGACATCCACAGGAACAAGCTGAGTGAGTCTGATGTTTTTACCTTTGAAAATAGAGAAAAAGAATCACAGCTCTTTGGAGGGAGCAGGATCTTATGGATCTGTTCATTTTAGAGAACCACTCAAAAGAACCAGTATAATTTAATTTAGCATGTGTAGATGAGGTTTAACAGCACTAAATGACTCGCGTTGCCAGACCTAATGTCCGTGATCTGCAGAGTTTGGCTCATTTTCCCGCCACATCTGCCTCTGTGACTGGCTGCTTCTCACTGATCACACAAAGGGGAGTGGGTTTAGGGCAGGCAGGGAAATTGGGCACTCGGTTCCTTCATTTGTACCAAAGAGTTTTTGAAAAGAATCAGACTGTTCACTATTTAAAAATAAATGCGGGGTTGTTTGACGCCTCCTATGTAAGAGTATCCCTGATATCTTGGTAAGCTTAGGTTCATTCTTTTTTGTTGATGAAGCCCTTTATTTACAGCAATAAGCAGCTTTACACTCACTTTATGACACTCAGATGAGGAATCTACACTTGGACACTCAGATGTTGGAGATACAGAATGAGTTTACTGACAGTTAAAGACAGCAGCCATTCAAATAATGAATCTCAAACGTATTAGTGCAGCATTATCTTGCTACAATTTTTACAAAAGTTGGGCTGTCAAAGCATAATTTTATAGAATAATTTATATTTTACTGTATGTTAATGGGAACTGCTAGACAATTTTTTTAACCATTTATGAAGATTCTTTTTACAGGTCAGCCTTTAATTAATTTAATTAATTTAATTAATTTAATAAAACTGTGGAAGCCATTCTGTCTCTAGTAGTTGTTTCTTCAGACCTTGTATTCCTTGTGTGATTTGATTCGCCTTCACTGTAAAAACAACTTGAGGAAAAACTCAAGTGGTGCCAATAAATCAAGCCTCTCTCTGCTTCAACTAAAGGTCTGTTATCTTGTTGTCAGCTGTGGAACGCAGGAAACCAGTTTTCAGGTCTGTTTGCTGCCAGCTACTGTTAGAGGAGAGGGGGAGGGAGGTGGGGGACAGGAGGAATGGAGGAAGTAGAGGAGGAAGAGTAGAATAAACTGGTGATTCTTCACTGCCCTTCAGTGGTCATAGTGAGTAACTACAACTCTAGCGCGATACCCATCAAGTCCTCCAGAGCACGTTCACTCTGAAAACTGAGCGCACCATTCTATTACAGTTTCCAGGTTAAACAATATGTTTCCTAGAAGCGGTATGAAACAGGCTTTGATGTACTTTTGGTCTCTTTGGTGGGTCAGAGGCATTACCCAAACGGCAGCAACATTTCAATAAACCCTGCCATATTTAAAAGGCAGTGCAGTGCTTATGTATGCAAAACAGGGTGTTCAACATGCCACCGTTTCCGATTAAATAAACAGTTTGAACATTTTGTTGGAGCCGAAGGCACTCCTGGTTTGACACAAACTGGTTTCTTCTCCTGAATCATCCAAATGTCTGGATGAAAGATGGCTGCCACATAAAGTATCAGGAAGCAGAGAGTAAAACCCTTCATCAGTTCCATGAGGCCATCTAGTGGTCAGCAGCTGATGGCAGCTTTCTACTCTCATTCTTCCTGATCAATGAGAACAAGCAGCATCTCTGTCAATAACAAAGCACTAGTAATCATATTGAATAGTGTGAGGGCAGAAAGTGCTGAGAAAAGCCCAGTAATGTTTTCTAACTGATTCTTTAGTCAGAGCAGCATCCAACAAGCCTAAGGGATTCAACTGACCTGATATGAAACAGAGAGAAGCAGCTGATATTTGTCATTTCTCCAGCAGAAATGATGGGGAAAATGATGGAGTGATGATGAGTTTTCAGTTTTAAGTGCTGATCAATGATTGGACGGATCCTTTTAGCTCTCGGTGTTTACTATACAGATGAAGGTAGAAAGTCTCTGCAAGCTGATGTGGATGTGAATTCCATAGCAGTTGCCATGGTAACATCATTAATTTCAGATTATCGGACTAGTAGCACACTGACTAGATATAGTTGACTTGGAAAAAGAGGAACATTTTGAATGTTTTCAGTCAGTCAGAAATGAATAGTGACCTCATCGCCAGGGAAAGACAAAGCAGCATGTAGTGAATTCCTCTGGTCTTCAACAGTCCAAATACTGAGGATAATATGATGTTGAAGTCTGTTTTATTGCAAACTTCCCTCTGTGTTTGTAGGCTTCACTTTAGGCTTCACTTTAGTCAATATGAACAGGTGGAATGATTATAGCCACCTACACTGTCAACATACATGTGGATAAAGATATTAAGACTTGAAGAAATGTGATCTGATCCTTGAAATTCAGCCATCAAACAGTGATGGTGGTGTTGTTTAATCACTACAGAGGAAATGTCTTCTGAAAATGTGTCAGATATCTGTTGGTTAGTCATCTCTCATCTCTTTGTTGATGCAGTTTGTGTTTGTTACATAGTGTCCTAAGCTTGTTCTCCCTCACTTAGTAACTGACCTGATGTTTTTCTTCTTCTGACACACCTTTCATGAAGAAACATCTTCATTCTGGTATTCTACACTGGTATTTACTACTTGTAGATCTGAATATTCACAAATTCAGTTACTAATTATTCTATGATCTATGACTTTTTGACCAAAATTAGACTTTTCATGATGAGTTTAATCCAATTAAAACAGCAGCAGTAAACAAGTTCAATTTCATTCTGAGCTGACTTCAGTGCTGAGACATGAGAGAGAGTCAGAACTGGTTTAAGAGCCTGAATCCTGATCAGCTGGGTTTTCATTGTACAAAACTACACACACCAATCAGCCAATCAGAGAACACCAGCTGTTCTTTTTTCTTTACCATGAGACAAATTCAGAAAACTTTATGTTGTAATGTCAGACCCTCTTGGAGGAGAGGCTTGAATTGTATTCTTGAGTTGTTGTATAGGCTAATGACTAATGACATTCAGCCTCAGCCGTGTTGCTCAGTATTTTTTGGTGTCGTGAGCTGTGCAGCATAGCTAAAAACAACAGCTAGGCTTTATTTCAAGATCTAAAACATGTGATTGTGAATGAATGGATTAAGTAATCTGACGATACATTAGCATTATGCTAACATTTCCTTTTCCATTGAGTTTTCCTTTTGTCAAATATGGCTTTTCTTTTGAAAGAAGTTTGCCACATCTAAATGACAGTAACAGAGAGCAGCAGCAGGAGCTCTGACTGGCCAGACTCTACACACAAATACTACCAACTACAAACACAGATCCTGTGACAGCCAATCAGAACTCTTGCTGCTGCTCTAAAAAATTTGTGTTACAATTTTCCTTCAGGTCTAAAATTACTGCCTGACTTTAGCAGGGAGCCACGATGACAGCGAAAGACGTTTTGAAGACTCTGGAGGATTTAAGTGACGAGGAATTCACAAAGTTCAAATGGTATCTGAAGCAGCCCGACATCCTGGAAGGATGGAAGGGAACCATTAAAGTGTTCGAGCTGGAGAAGGCAGAAAGGCAGGACACTGTGGATCTGATGGTGAACGCCTATAATCTTCATGGAGCTCTGAAGGTGACCAAGAAGGTTTTAGAGGAACTACCCAGGAACGACCTTGTGCAGAGTCTGCCAGACACCAGCTCAGGACCAGAAGGTCAGTTTTTTTATATTTTGTGGTTGACACGGGCTACATGATACTTGTAAAGGAACAGGGTCTCTCCGTACAGAAGCTCACTGCATTCACCAAATAATAAAATGTGAGACCTTGTTATTATGACAAAAGGTTTAAGTTATCAATCATTGGTGTTTGAGAAGACAGAGGCTGCCTGATTCTCTTACTTCCTCCTTGGTTTGAGACACTGGGAGATATTATTGTCACTGAGTATTGTGGATGGTTTTATTGTTAGTGTGGTATTTTATGCCTTGAGTAAATAACAAATGAGATGTCCTGATGACATTATGCAGTCTGCACATGAGGTTGACATGTTGATGCACGTGAAATTAAGAAGTAGTTTCCTGCGTCAGAAATTCATCAATGCTATCAAAATGTATAAGCTTACTTAAATATTGCGGTAATATTTGCTATCAAAATAAAGCGTGCAATAAAGGGTGATAAATGTTAGCTACGGGATGTTTAAGATCATTATTATGTGATGGCTTTCTTGCCAGGCTAGAAGAAGCTGCAACCAGAACAGAGAACCTTCCTCCTGTCAGTGTGAACGTAAAGCTGCTTTATTCTCTGGTACATATGGAGGACAGTGTTGTTCTTAACTTAAAATACAGTAAGTGTTATTAAGTTTTACACACATTCTGACTTCATTATAACTGAGTAAAAGCAAATTCAGCAGAACCTGATGAGAGTTAGTCAAATCAGCATCAGAGTATCTGCTGGTTTTAAAGTCTGAATCAACTTTGAATTTAGTTCCCTCAAAAAAGACTCAGTTTATTCACAGATCTTGAATATTTTTGCCTTTATACATTTTTTGTATGTGGCTATTAGGAGACGCTGCACATCTATAAACTAAGGGCAGTGTAGTGACAGTGGATTTATTCAAAACAGTTAGTCCATTCATTTATTTTCTGCAGTCGGGACCAATGATGTTGTGAATAAACAGTCTGAAGTGTTGAAAGAGGATTTTAATAATCTGTTGAACACAGTCAGCTCTTTGAATGCTCAGGTGTTTATCAGTGGCCCTATACCGCCAATCCGAAGAGGAGCTGAGAGATTCAGCAGATTGATGGCTTTGAACACGTGGCTCTCAACAGCATGTACTGTCCACTCAGTGCATTTCATTGAAAACTTTTACTTTCTGTGGGACCGCAGACATCTTTTTAAGGCAGATGGACTTCGCCTTAACAAGTCAGGAGTAAAACCTGTTTTACTTTCTGCGTCACTCATCTGTTCCCTCTTCCAAGGACAAAATACAAGAGGAATCTAAACAAGAAGAAGACATCCTTCGTTGGATAACTATGACCTGGATGACTGAGAATCTTCATAGACATCTTGCTAATCATTTTGGGATGAACACCCTCAGATTGGTACGGGAGTATGAAAGGACAGCCAGGAAAATTGCAGACTACAGGAACCATCTACGATTCAACCTGAGATGCAGACAACACAAACTCATTCCCAACAGCCTACACTTAGGCTCCACGGTAAAAGGACACAGAGCCGGAATAATCCTGGAGAAAGCACAACACCAGCTACTGAACGAGAGAGTGAGACAGAAACACTTCACAATTGAAGCCCTGAACAAAGAAATGGACAACATACACCACAAACAGAAACATATCTGACCAGTACAGCACTGGGAAAGGTCATGGACTTCATCAAGAAAGCACAGCTATCTCAGCACAACAAGAGCAAAGAAAGACAGACCCGGAAATTCCAAAACCTACAGTCCAGAGCGAGCTGCACTAACAAAACAGGAGAATTGTCTTGGAGGAGAAAGGACAAGAACCAGACAACAGATGGGTGAAAAACTTGTCAGATAGGGAACTCACCCAACTAGAGAAAGACGTTCTGGCCAAAGGATTAAACTTTGCCATTACACCACAGCAACTACCGATAGTAGACCTCATCACAGAGACCCAACCAGCGGATACAAGAAAAAGGCCATAGAATGTCTACAACAGTTACAGAAGGACAACACCATCACCCGTGAACAATATTACCGTTTGTATCCTGGAGAAGCCATTCCATGCATTTATGGACTACCCAAGATACACAAAGAAGGAGCCCCACTCAGGCCGATTATCAGCAGCATTAACTCGGTCACCTACAACATTGCCAAACACATTTCCACCATCTTAGCTCCATTGGTGGGAAACACGCCTCACCACGTCCAAAACTCTATTGACTTTGTAAACAAAGTTCGAGGACTAAAACTGGATCCAGATAAAACCATGGTATCCTATGACGTGACTTCTTTGTTCACCTGCATCCCCACCATAGAGGCAGTAGAAACCCGCCATCCCGCTCTGCAATGGCGAAAACGCCAAGTAAGCTCTGTCTGATATGTGCTGGGTCCAGGCTACAAGGAAAATAGCACTCATGACTCTTCCCAGGACAAGCCGGGGCCCAGTGTGCTGGTAGTCTTCTCCATCCCCGTCTTCACAGGTAACAGAAAAAGCACGGTGACTCAACATATCCTACAAGTTTAGTATTAATTCCTCGTCAGCCGCAGCCTGTAGAAAAAAGTGGGCCAGATAATGTTTTTCACACACTAAAATTAGCTTTGTTAAATGTTAGGTCTTTGGCAGGAAAAAACATTTTTAATCAATGTTTTAATAATCACTCACAATCTTAATTTCATGTTTTTAACTGAAACTTGGTTGGACCAAGATAACAGTGCAAATGTACAAACAGAGGTGATCACATAACGGCATATCACTGAAAACACTAGTGAAAAATTTATTGAGGCTTTGCCCTCAACACCCGCCCTCTCACGGGTCTCAGTCAATGAGCTTGTAGATAATTTCAGTTCTAAAATTACAAATGTTATTGATGCCATTGCACCAGCCAAGGTGAAGGTGGTCTCTGGTAAGAGAAGATCTCCATGGAGAAATGCCACGCTGGTTAGAACTCAAAAAAGATAGTGTCGAAAAGCTGAACGCAGGTGGCGGAAAACAAATCTTCAGGTTCATTATGACATCTATAAAGAGAGACTTCGCATTTATAATTTAGAGCTGAGAAATTGGTGGTTAATCTTCTCTGACATCATCACCAAAAACACTAATAATGCACGTGTCCTGTTTGCTGCTGTCGACAGGCTAACCAACCCTCCTGTGTCTGTAGCCTCTGACCTTCTATCCACCAGGGCCTGCAATGAATTTGCTTCCTTCTTCACAGACAAAATTCAAACAATTAGACAAGAAATCAGTGCCTCCATGTCAGTAACAGGATATGTCTTGTCCCTGTGTCCACATAAAAACAATTCATATAGCATGAGACAATTTGATTATATTAACCATAAAAACCTGGAGGACATAACATAACATGAAATCCTCCTCATGCTGCCATCATATTTTGCCAACAGGTTTTTTCAAAAATGTGTCTAAATGCATGGCCTCAGATCTACTACAAATTGTCTCTCCTCTCAGGTTTTTTCCCACAGGCCCTGAAAACTGCAGTCATTCAGCCACTCTTAAAAAAGAGCAATCTAGACAGGTCACTAATGAGCAATTATAGGCCCATATCAAATCTCCCATTTTTAAGTAAAATCATTGAAAAGGCTATTTTTTCAACAGCTTAGTGCTTTCTTGGCACTAAATAACTGTTTTGAGGTCTTCCAGTCAGGTTTTCGACCACACCACAGCACTGAGACGGCTCTTGTTAAGGTCTTCAATGACATCCACTTAAACACTGACAGTGGCAGAATTTCAGTCTCATTGGATCTCAGTGCTGCATTCGACTTTACATAACCATTTCACCAGCCAGGGAGGAACGATTGAAAGTCAGCGCTCGACTTCAATCTGTAGTGTTTAGAACCACAAATCAAGCCAGAAATCTTGGTGTAGTCATGGACTCAGACCTGAATTTGAGGAGCCACATTAAGACAATTACAAAGTCAGCCTACTATCACCTGAAGAATATATCAAGGATTAAAGGACTTATGTCTCAGCAGGACCTGGAAAAGCTTATCCATGCATTTATCTTCAGTCGACTTGACTACTGTAACAGTGTCCTTACAGGGCTCCCTAAGAAACTATCAGCTGCAGCTGATTCAGTTCTTTTTACCATTGCTTTTAATTAAATATTTACGATTTGTCTTTTTATTGATAACTTACACTGCACTGTAACTTTTACTGTCCTGTTTTCTTTTTAGCTTTTTATCATTGCTTTTAATTAATATATACACAGTGAGAAATTAGTAGCTAATTGAGTTGGGGAATTGTGGGAGTGAGATTGAACAGAGTGAAGGAAGTGATCTTAAATCTCGCGCCCGAGTGATTTGCAGGAACCTCTGTCCACCTGTTAACGCGCAGGTCTAGAGTATAACTGGATTAAAGTGGCCTGCGGACAGACATGTCCTGGTTTCTCTGTAGTGTCCGAGGGTTTTTGGAGTTTCAGTGGACCCAAAGATTGCTGTGGACCCAAGTACAGACTAGAGAGAGAGAGAGTGGAATAAGTGTACTCCTCTGTTTACTCTTTTTTTTCAGAATTATTGTAACTCAATTATTTGCTCAACCCCTCAGCCTGTTTTTATTTTCCATTTAACTCTTTTTAACCCTGATTGTACACTGCACTGTAACTTTTTATATTTTATGTTGCTTTTAAACCTTTTTATATTTCCCTGTTGCTTTTATGTTTGATGTAAAGCACTTTGAATTACCTTGTTGTTGAAATGTGCTATACAAATAAACTTGCCTTGCAGTTCATCTGGGTCCAGGTCATGTTAATTGTAATTAATTATATTACAAGGAATTATTGTCATAGCTGGTAAGGACTGACAGTCACTACTTACCATTTATTTATGTCAATAAATAAATGTCCTCTACTTATTCATTTCGATTCATTTTTATTTAGCACAAATTCTTAACAAAAGTTACTGTGCATCCGGAAGGAATTCACAGCTCTTTACTTTTCCCACATTTTGTTATGTTACAGCCTTATTCCAAAATGGATGAAATTCATTATCCATCCATCCATCG